AGGCTGTGACGCCTAGGTTAGAGTTAATCAACAAAAATTGTTGAGAAAAAAATTAAGGAACTACCTGTGCCATACTTACTGTGGCCTAACTCTGTGACCGTAAAATTTATTACTGACACGGTCAATAATCCTGTTCACGTTAAGTCGCGGTTTAGGATTATTTTGATCTTCGTTGTTTTCTTCCCACGTTGACAGTTCTAGGGCTGCAACTATACCAATAAAAATCTATTCAGTGACCTTTCCTATATTGACTAAATTCATCAAAGATGTTGCAGAGCCTGTATTGTTAGCGGGAGTAGCTGACTAGCTGGAGGGGAAGGGGGCTGTCGGTGACTCCACTCCCCTCGGTGAGTTTTTTTTTAGTATGAAAGTCTTAAATGTCACTTTTATTAGAACACGGTATGAGTGCCCGCAGAACAATCAGACAGGTACCCTGGATGTGATACGGTGTGATTCTCTTTCCACTTTGAAAAATGTTAGCTACGTATGCCTCTAATGCTGAAACTCATTAATATTCTCCGCTTATTTTGTACCTAGTCCTATAATGTGTAAGAAGCAATTCTGCCAGTCTAGGGCCATAGAGAGTTATATGGCGTCACGGCTCAATTTTAAAAAACTCAGGCTAGCCCCACATTTTAGTTCTGCATTTTTGTCTCTGATATTTATGGCCCTTAGGACCCAGTTCAATAACGAGGTAGCACTAACTCTCATTCAAAAATGAAGCTTCTTCATTTTTCAGTTCCTCGTCCTCTTCATCACTCTCCTTGTCTTCACCTCCGAGTTGAATCTCTGCGTCTTCTCGATCCACTATCAAAAGAAGAAGAAAAAGTAATAATTGTTCGAGCCATTGAGTACCTATTGCTGTTTCCATTCGAATTAAACCACCCAAAATTTCGGCTTCACCACGGATCGTAAATTCTCGAAAAAACGGCGGGCTCTTTCCAAATACTTCACGATGTCGGATCGAGTATCATCATATTTCAAAATGGCCGCCTTCTTCGAACTGCAAATATTTCTATTTGGTACAATTTACGGATTTACTTCACTCCTAATGATGCAGACTTAAAATATTCTCTGTGTTTTGTGACTGAAAAAATCATAATTTTTATAACGGTTTTCAGGGGCATGAACGGTACCAGACTCTAAAACCAATAATATTTACATATCTTTCAGCACTTTGACCTAAATTAAGTTTTCTTACAAAGTTCCTCACCATCGTCGTCTTCGTCTTCGCTATTTTCTGAGTCAAGTATGGAAAAATCAGAGTCAGAATCAGAGGTGAGATAGCGTTCGTTATCTCCTTCGGCCATTCTGAAAAGGAAAGCTGAGAATCGGTTAATTAATTTCTCAGGAACTCTAAAACATATTGCACGATAGAACATTTACTTTATGAATCGTGCTCATTTAACGTTACGTAATCTTCTTCGTCGTATTGTAGGTTTTGGTTATTGCGTAACGTCTTAGGATAATTTGAAGGTTTGTTTTCGTTTCGTCTGCAAAATAATTGTAAATTTTTTTTTGTTTTTAGTGTAAGTCGTTCAGGTTTATTCGAAGTCATGGTCGAATTTATTCGAGTTCGTTCAAGATTAGTTCGTTCGAGATCGGTCATTTTGTGCTCAACTGAAATTTGTTATTCGTACTTAGGTCGAGTTAATAATAAAATGTTCAACTAGTGAACACATATCTCTTGATCATTCGTTGATTAGTCTTTAAAGGCCTAGAAAGGAAGCCTTAACCCTCAAACTCTCCAAGATCTGACTGTTAATTCTCCCCTCTAGCTGCTACACATTTCCTTGTAAAATAGTAACGAGAATTTGATGTTCAATCAAGGTAACACCTACCACCTGATAAGTTTGAGTATTCTCACTACCTGTTTACTGATAATGTATGGATATTATAGGGAGAAGTTACAGTTTATCACTGCTGGGAGTCAAAGAGGTAATTGGTCATAGAGAGCTTTCCGGAGGGTCCCAATAAAAAAGATGGGGGGGAGGTCACGTTGACGGTTGACGGTTATAGTAAGCCCTTTTGACTGTTGACGGTTAGATTTAGGTCATTTGACGGTTGACGGTTAATGTTTTGGAACTTCGTTCTTAAAAGTGAACTAATCGCGCGAGTTTGGCTGTAATTTTTCATAATTACGCGTTTGTAAAGAACTGTTAATTCATAATTAACAATTATTCGCTGAAGGCGAGGTGAATAATCGAGGGGATTATTCGACAATATTTACCGAACCTGAGGCGAATAA